ACTGTAGATGCTGCTATGCATCAATCTGCCATGTTTCTGACATACACACCTGCAGCAGGACTTTCCCTCCTCCCCCTTTTCACTGGGCGTCCCTCATCCTTGCTCGGTGAGCGGGATCTCTTCCTCCCTCTCACTCGAGACTGAGAGACTTCAAAGAAAGGTCCCAGGAAATTAATATCATACACTTATGATGTGGTGCGTAGATGGATAGACATTCATGGTCAGTATTATGGCCCCGGACCATAGTAAGTGTGGTGGGGCTTGGAGCTTACCGTGAGCAGAAGACTGGGGTACATGTAGGATTGTAGGTAATAATAATAATAATAATAATAATAATAATAATAATATGCAGTATGTTTCAAAAGCTAATATTTGTTGTTTTTATATTTACGTAAACTGATTCAAAAATCCTACCATTTCTTTAACTGTTTAATTGTTGTTTGCTATTAGTTAACCTATGACATCAGTCTGGTTCCAATCTCCAATGATAACTTTGTCACATGACAAACCTTTAAAGGGGCCCTTCTCGGCTTTGGCTGAGGATGTCGATGGATGAATTCTGCCTTGTGAATTTAGGTTCCTTCTCGCCCTTTTCACAGGGTGTCCCTCATCCTCACTTGGTGAGCGGGATCTCTTCTTCCCTCTCACTCTAGACTCCGAAACTTAAATGAAAGGTCCCAGGAAATTAATGTCATGCATTTATGAGGTAGGCATTCAAGACCAATAGTATGGCCATTATCGCCACAATATTATTCTGATCTTAGACAACTACAAGATAGCCAGGGAATGTGCACGAAGAGCTACAGAAACCTTCAATGTGAACAGTCCATACAGAGAGGATAAAAGGCATAAGAGCACTCTCCCATTCAGATATAGGACAGATACTTAAAGTAAATACTTGTGAGTCCTATTTCCTATATTATGCCATTATTACTGTAAACAAATCATGACATGAAAATATCACCACATCCAATGAATTCAATACAAATTAAAGGTTATTCTGCTTAACTTTGAGAAAGTTTTAAGATAGACTGAAGGATAAAAGTTATATTCATTTAAAGAATTGAAATATTTTAAAATATTACGTTGCTAAATGTTAGCTCACCTGAAGGCTTGTTAATTTCCATGTTATACTTCGATTATTCCAAAATGCCAGTATGTGTGAATCAGCTAAAGCAAAATTCTGTGCAGGTTTGTATGGAATGTTAAATAAATTACGCAATATGTCGCGTACTGCAACGCAAAATTCTAGAATGTAACTACCTTGTCCAATCCTAACGCGCTGTCAAAATACCGTTTGCTGATTGGTCAAAAAATTGAAACCCTCAATATACATGTATTCTGAGTATTGTAAAATACCACGTAAGACCCCGCAAGATCGCTACGTATTGTTTTTACTATCATAAACTTCAATGATGTAAATACAGAAAAGATGAGAAAATATCTAATTGGAGGATAGAAAACGCAAGCGACGGATAAAAGGTGTACTGTTAAAAGAAAGGGCATCTCAGAAATCTACTTGGATGCCTGTTTTGTTATAAATAATAACGTATAATAATGTAGTTTAGTTTTCTCTTGAGGGTAGAGTTAGTCAACCACTCCCAGCCTAGCTTTACTCTGACCACAGCCGCAAGCGTTAGCAAATTTATCCTTTATCTCTTGACATCACCTACAAATAATTTAACGCAAACCGATAAAACATTACTTTAACAAAATCTAGAGCGTATCCATGTTAATAAAACAAAACGTGATTTTTAGGCGAGGCAAATAGTGTTGCGATTTGAAAAATACCAATTACCTGTTATTTTAGCGCCGTATATTTATTGATGTCATCGGCAGCATTAGCCAAATCGAGAAATCCCGGTGATATCTCGCAATGGCTCAGAAACATGTCGCTTTAATATCATAATATCGCCCAGATATTATACCATAGTATACAGTACTTTGATGTTATTTTAAAAATCAATATTCCAGTATTAATTCGATCAAATTTGCCAAGCCAGGAATGGGGTAGAGGGCGTGGTTAATTTCGAACAAAATATCGCCAAAGCCCAGCCTGCAACCGCCCTCCCAGGCCCCGAACACGACGGCTGCTTAGCGTGTACGTTACTGCCACGCGGAACTGCTGCGGCATGGAGAGCCCCTTAAAGGTTAGAAACACTTATGTGAATGTTTGATTTAAATTCATTATCAATTTGACTTAGTTTAGACAACGGTTAAGAAATTACGATGGTCAACACGTTAAATTATCACTTATTATTATTACTACAATAAATCCTGTATATTTTGTGACAATTGTAAGGAGCGAGAGAGTAAACATGAAAACTACTGCGTTTCACCTAATATTAAGTGATTGACATAATTTAATTATAGCCTACACTGCGTTTCCCGCTCTATGTAGTACACATGTAGCCTCCTTTAATATGCAGTCCTTTTAATAACGTGCAATCTCTGAACGAGAGTAAACAAAAATAACGTGAGTGCTTGCTGGTTTAAACTGGCCAACTTTATGTTCTTTTCTAACTTTTCTGAATCAAACATTTTATTATTAATAGGCATTTTCAAATGATAAGTCAGAGTAGAAGTACGTGTACCCTGGCGCCACCCATCCAGTTTGTTCCAGGTTCGGAGTGACGCCAGTTTTTCAGGCGCGAAAAGCGGTTCTCAGCAAAAATAGGCATTTAAAAGATCTGTTGGTAGTTATACTAACATCATACCATAAAAATTGGTAAATGGCATAACGGACACCTTTCGATATAGTTTCAATGAATAAGCTACATATCCTAGACATGAAAAATATGAATATTAATTATTTCAACCATTTCCCTAGTTGCATGTCTGTTGACGCCGAAAACGGAGGCTAGATGTGTACTATAAAGTCAGCAGTAAGCACAGTGTAGCCTATAATTATGTTAACAGAACGTTAGGTGAAGCGTAGTAGTTTTTAGGGGCACTCTTTTAAAAAACGGGGGTAAAAAAAATCACGAAAAAGATACAGGGATTGCTGTGTATTATTTATAATAATTGTATTTATTATTATTACAATTATTATTACTACTGCAATTGAGCACACACTTTTTAACCTTGCTCTAAACTAAATGTGGCGCGCATAGAAAAAAAAGTAAATAAATAAAAAAAAAATTAAAAAGGGTTGAAACAAGCTATTGTGTATTCTTAAACCAGCTATTATTGCTGTAAGATATCACAGTAGGAATTGAAGCGTGTGACATGGGTGGAGCCATAGGGGTGGAGCAGTTGCTTCCAGGTTGCGTAAGGGGCGGAGCCCGCTCTGCCCTCAGACGCACTTTGGATGAAGAATAGAAAAGGAGCAGGCAGTCATATTTGCTTTACTCACCCCTTTACAGGTTAGTACAGGGGAAACTGTCGTCCGTGTTGTGTTTTTTTTCCATTAATTCATGACTAATGTTTGTTTGCTTACATATTTTAGTGTTATTTTGAACTTTTAAGTATAAAAAAAGGGAATAGAAGGGTTGAGATACTACTTGAGATAAACGGTGAACAGCTGTCTCGCGAGCTATCTGTGGCGGCAAACAGAAGTGCTGCAGACGGTCAGCTACCGGGCATGGTGCGCTCCCAGACACTTTTGTGAGACAGAAATTTCGCAATGTTAAATGAGCAAATGAATTCATCCACTGTTTTGTGAGACGGTTATCTTACAAAGTTCAATTGGTAAAAATGGGTTAAGATACCTCGGTTATAAGACATGATTATTAAAAATATTTATTAAGTTAAAAAGTGAAGAAATGATTGTGCCTTTGATAAATATGCCTTTGATGTTTTATATCTAGCTTTTAGCAGATAGTGTTTTATAGTAATTAACACTCTTTAGGTGCAATTCTTAGGCTTTGTTACTTTGTGGAACTCTATTCAGTATTAATAAATAGTCAGGTGATAGGCGGCTACAGGTAGCCAGATTAAAATACTATGAAATACCCATGAATTTGCACTATTGAGCTGTAGTGTTTATTATCACTCCTGTAAAGGTGAAGAAGGGTATGTGTTGATGTTGTTTTGTGGATACTTAAACATGTGATTGTTACGTTCTATAATGACAATGCATGTATTTGTAAAGGTTATATGAATGAAATTTTACTGAACAAGTTTACAACTGAACCACACTCTGACCAAGGAAAGAATTATTACACATAGATATTTATCAGTTGTTGTCCATAAATAAACAGACACACTTTGGATGAAGAACAGAACAGCAGCAGCCTGTGTCATCTCTTTGTTTTACTCACCTGTTTACAGGTACTTAACTTTATTATTGTGGTACCACTCTTGGGACCCGTAATATAAACATAACTTTATAATGAACTGAAATCAGGCATTCTGTTATTGATGGCAATTATGAAAGGTAAACTCAATGTAGAAACACAGGGCTTGCAGTAACAGCACTGTGGCAGCAACGAGGTCGGACTGGACAAATTTGCGGATCCACGCCACAGCAGTTCCGCGACGCCATGCATCCAGTGTTCCTACTGTAGAATCCAGGTGAAGTAGGACAGTTTTTGCCATTCTGATTTCTAGTTAACATTGAAAAAATTACTCAATGTAATTAGGCTGTATATATCTTACTGCAATCCTTAACATGTCTCCTTATGACATCAAAATAAAATAAAAATTCTTACTTATAGGATAGGGGGGACCAGGGACAATTGTAACACTTCTGGGCATTTTTCGATTATTTCAAAATCCATTTATACTGGAATAGCCAATTTGCTATATTACAAGCATTAGCATGTCAGGTACTGGAACAATACATTGAAGTGGTTTTATAAAATATGTACAGGTTGCAAAATTAATTTAAATTCAGTCACTCCACTGTTACAACTGTCCTTGTGCACAGGGAAATTTGTAACACATGCCAGGGACAGATGTAATAGAGAATGCTTAACTGTTTTTCTGACTGCACTTTTCATTTGAACAACCCCCATGATTGATATGCCTACTGAAGAATTGTGTTACAAGTTTGAAACAGGTTAATAGTTATTGCAATTCTTGTGTAATATGTGCTTACAGTTTTGAGAAATGAGTGTCTCTTTTTGTGACACAGGCTTGAGGTCTTAAAAACTGTTTGAGAATATTCATGTGGGTGGGAAAAAATGAGAAATAAAGCAATAATGCAGACAACACATTTATTAACTGATAGCATTTGGGGATATAAACATGGGCTGATATTATGTGCTGTACAGCTGAGAATGTCTCCGGGGGCTGTTAGCTCTGCTCTTCAAGATACACCTGTAAAAGATAAAATATGATGCACTGACAGAGAACAAAAAATACTATGTAAATGAGTGTTTTAGTAGAGGCAGGGCCGTTTAATGTAGATCAATGTAAATAGAAAAATTTATTATGAAAAATCTGAGATGTTTGGGTGTTAGAAATAAGACCTTGAACCCCTGTTCAACCCATTTTATTTTCCAGCATTGGTACCGATAAAAGACACAGAGAAGTTCTGTATTGTAAAAGATATGAGGTAGGTAGAAGTCTCTGTGTACTTCCATCAGGTCTGTTCCAGAATGGCTTTTATACTGTGCATTTTGCTTTGGGGCCCGCCGGCAATATGACAAAGTGAAGAGTTTATTATTACCTCGGTCTTGTCTAAGACCGACTCTCAACATTTCTGGAGCCAAGGATGACATGCAATGTGCTCCAAGGTTGGACGATTGCTGTGATGTTCCTCTAGGCACCAGTCCATTAGATCCCGAAATTCTGAAAAGACAGTGGAGTTGGGACATTATTCAAAGTGAGAAGGCTCTGTCATCAGGCGTGGTCAGTGTGACATTGCTGACACTAACCTTCTGAGACTTCTCTGGGGAAACGCAGAGATTCGGTTTCCTGGCTGCAAGATGGTGCCGATCCACACACCAGGCGGAAGAGCATTTCTCCGATAGCCATGGTGGTGTAGGTGGAATTGAAATCCCGCAGAAATCTGGCCCGGGACTCATTCACAGCTGCTCCTATGAGAATCAGAAAAAATAATGAGATGAGAGAGATAAGATGCCACAGACGCTGATAAA